TGAACTCATGACATTTCTAAGGCCTTGTTTTGTTCCCAAGAGGTGAATGATGAGGGCATCATTTTGCAAAACAGATTAATAAATCCATACATACCATGTGGGGGACACTTCCACTAACATGTTCTCTGTTCCTCATATATGGTGAAGATAAGTGATATCCCCCAAAAAATTTGCTCATAAAGTTAAAAAAGGTACTCAAGTATATGCCAAGCTCAGAAGACGATAACATTGGTGCTACAATTTTGAATTTCCTAATATGCATCAGAGAGCTTTTACAAGTTTTCAGAGACTAGGTGAGGCTCATGCCCCAAGGAATCTGATTCTAAATCACTTTCTTCCCCTCTTTTTTCTCCCCCCCAAAAAAGAGGCAATCTTCAAAGGAGCAAATATGTCACTTTAAATACACAACATAAAAAAATGGGCCAAATAAATTATTAAAATACATAAAAAAGAGATTAAAAAAGATGCATGTTATTAGCTATTTGACAAGCAATTGATGTTGATGCAATGGCTGCATTTCACAACACAAGTGTTTTCTTTGCTAGACAGATAAATAGCTGAAATAATGTGAGAAATTACTTTGCAGTCATCCAAATAACAGTTTGGCTTTAAATGGTTCATTTAATGACTTTCCACTGGCTGTGCTGCACAGTTGTTTCATACCAGACCTTCACCACATCCATGTGCTTTGGAATTCTTTCTAAAAATGAGCTCCATGCCTGACCCTTCTCTCCCTGTCCCAATTCCCTGCAGAAGTGTTACTACATATGCTTTGAATCTTTTTTTCAGATGAGCTCCCAAGTCTAACTCCTTCCTCCCTGTGCTTGAAATGAATGGATTTGAAAGCACAGATGTGGCCTTGAAGTTTTTGGACCAGGCCCATCTGGGTCAATCCCTACATAGTTTGACTAGTAGTTTCTTGACTATAATTCTCAGAAGCCTTCATTTTTTCATGTTCTGAATCTACTACACACTCTCTTTTATCTCTCCTAGTTGAACTACATGGATCTCAAGGGAGATGTGATTTTCATAAACAGAGAAATAATGACCAGCCAGAGGAGGAAAACACATTTTTAATGACTGTGAGAATTGTCTTTATGAAACAGTAAGTTTCTTTTTCGTTTATTCTATGTTAAAAATATACCTTTCATAAACTGGAGAAGAAGGGGAGATTCTTTTTAAATCTCATCTACTCAATAATAACAATATTTTTTTAAAAGCTGCCAACATTTTGAATCACTGAGAAAGGGTTCTGGGTCTGATCCTGAGAACTGCATTTTTACGTGAACAGGGACTTCAGTAGGATCACTTGTGTGCCCAGAGATGCCTGTGAAAAGCAGTCTTCAAGACTAAGTCGATAGAACAACTGCTTTTCCAGACACGCTGGCTTCCTTCACCACCAAGTAGGGACTCAGGAGGTTCAGGAGAGCTCCAGCACCGCATCCCGGGGTGATGGAAGGCAGTTTGAGAACATCACGAAAGGCGCGCGGGGTGTCCAGTGTCCGGATCGCCTCCGCATCCCTGAAGGGGTGGCAGACACGGAGCGGATGGGAGGGAGCCCCTTCGGCCCCCGTGGAAGAGCTGCTTTGTCGCGGACCAAGGGCACAGGCCCCCGCGGGCGCGGAGAGCGGCAGCTCCGCGCAGCCTGCGGAGGGCGGCGCTGCCCGGCGAGGCGGCC